GTTCTTGGATGCCTGATACCTGATCTCTTCGGCAGCTCGTGGTCACACATGCTGGTGTGCTTCTTCCATGTGGGCTTTGTTGCTTCTGAGCTAGTTGGCCGCTTGTTTATCTTCAAGCCTTTAAGACCCCAGACATTATATCTTTTGATAATCTGGCACCATCAGCTTTCTTCACCACCTTTGCTTACGCACACGTTTGTCTTCAGTTATTGTATCAGTAAAGCGGGCACTCACTGATCTGATTTTCAGTTCTTTGATGTCTGATAACTGATCCCTTCTACACCTCGTGGTCAGACAGGCTGGTATGCTACTTCCATGTGGGCTTTGATGCTTCTGAGGTAGATGGCCACTTGTTTATCTTCAAGCCTTTAAGACCCCAGACGTTATATCTTTTGGTTGCCGGGCACTATCAACTTTCTTCACCACCTTTGCTTATGTTCACATTTTTCTTCAGCAATCGTGCCAGGAAGGTATGCATCCTGGAATGCCAATTTAATAGAACAACGTGTTCTTGCAATGAGTAAGTGCTTGAGTGGAGGCCCAATGTCCATCTGCCTTAATACTAAACCTATAAATATATGCATGTAGATCTGTTTCCCCACACTCTTACACTTTACTCCATTTTTAAAAATTTTTATTTTTTGCCTGCAACTTCTTGCTAGCAGATAAGTGTGATAGTAGAAACCAAAGATTTAACTTTCCCCTTTTGTGAATGGGTAAGAAACAAAGCAGAACCAATAACCTCATCCTCAAACTTACCCTACTGGGTGGTAAAGGCCTGTGGGTCCCCCAAGAGCCCCCAGGCCTCAGGCCATCAGGGTCTGAGGACCCCCCAGCCCTCTCTGAGTGCCTGCACATCGCCTGGTTGTGTGTCAAAATAACCTGCTCTGTGAGATGGGAGAGGGTGGGGGGACAGCACAGCCGAGGCTCTCTCTTTTTCTCACCCTCTCTCATGAGCTTGGAGCGCCCAGAAGATGCCACGAGAGGCTTAGCCTCCATTCATGCACTCCACCCAACACTGCACCAAACTCACTGCCATCAAATCAATGCCGACTCACCTGTCATTCATGCATTAGGGATTGCAGAGTCAGGCTCACCCAGCAAGCTACACAAACACTTGTGATGCTGTCAATCCAACACAGGAGGAGGCATAGAGTCTTTCTTTGATAAGCCCGATTTGGTGTCAAAGCCTGTCAATTGCCATTTAAGCTGCCCCCACAAATGCCACAGAGCAGCACAGGCTGGCAGGGGTTTTACTTGAGGTGTTGAGGGCGGAGCCCCAGTGTCGGGTGTTGGTTCATCATTTGGTCAAAATTGGGCTGGTAAAGTGATGGACAGATTCAACAGGTTTTAAAGAGTGGGAGGAAATATTTGGCAATTATGTATTTGGTGTGGAGCTAGTATCCAGAAAAAAATGCACACACACACACACACACACACACACCCTTACTTACAACTCAACAATGAAAAAGATGAACAGCCCAATTTAAAAACAGGTAAAGGATTTGAATGGACGCGTCTCCAAAGGAGTTATCAAAGTGACCCATACGTTCATGAGAAGGTGCTCAGCATCATGAGCAGTAGTGGTTGGGTGCTGTCAAGTTGATTTCCAGCAGAACTGACCCAAAGGGTGCGCCAGGCTGCCATCTCCATGGGAACAGAACGCCAGACTTCCTCCCACGTCGATTCCCCTGGGTGGATTCCACCCACTTATCTTTTGATTAGCAGTTCAGTGCTTAGCCATTGTCCCACCAGGGATCTTTTCATTAGTTATTAAGGAGATGTAAATCACAGCCACAATGATGAGCCAGCCACTCCACCTTCACTCATCGACTGCCATTGAGCCAATGCCAACTCATTGTGACCTTATAGGACAGGGTAGACCTGTCCCCGTGGGTTTCCAAGACTTTAAAGAGCAGAAAGCCTTATCTTTCTCTGGTGGTGTGGCTGGTGGTTTCGAACGGGTGACCTTGAGGTTAACAGCCTAAAGTGTAACCTACGATGTTACTAGAGCCCCTGACCACCTTCACTCAGCACACCCAACACACCGTCATGGAAGCGATACCAACTCACTGTGACTCTGTAGGACAGGGTAGAACTGCCCCTGTGGGTTTCCGAGACCATAGCTGTGTTAGGCAGGGTTCTCTGGAGGAAAAAACCCAAACAAGCAGGACACACACATATGTATGAGGATAGGTTTATATAGCGAGAAGGAATATAACAGTTAATCAGTCCACACAGCAGTACAGAGGGCTCAGTTCAACCTACTTTGGTGGAACACTTTCCAGTTAATATACTGGAAATCATTCAACTCACGTGGGCTGCTGGGTCCATGGTCAAGGAAGCAGACAACAGACAAGACAGAGTCTGGCCGCAGGCGGCAGACAGCAGGGTGGGTCAGCAACAGTCAGTAGCACGGGAACTTATCGAAGCAGGCCCTGATGGAACCTAGAACTGAGCAGGGGCAGGGTTCACCAGCCTCAAGCACACGTGATGTATGAATTAGCAGCATGGTGAAGCAGGTCTCAGGGAGCCTCAAGCTTTAGCTACAGGATCCACGGTCGGCTTGGCCCACAGGTAGGGCAGCACATAGATTGAGACAGAGAACTAACTAAAGCAGTAGCATTCTGGTCTGATCACCAGGGAGCGGGAGAAAGGGGGCAGGCCTTGCAGAGCCATTAACCTCATTGTCTTCCAATCAAGCTTCCACCTGATTAATCTCCGCCCACATGTTCCTATTGGCCTAGTTGCCACAATCATCCTGACTATCACAATAGCTCTTTACGGGAGTAGCTAGTCCCAATTTTACCCCGTGACCACCTTCACTAGGTTGGCTATAATAAAAATAACAGGCAAAAGCAAGTGTCAATAAGATGTGGTTCTAGAAATTGGATTCCTCATAGACTGGTGGTGGAAATGTAAAATGGTGTGGAAAACAGGATGGCAGTTTTGTAAAAAATTACTATATAAACCACCAATTTCACTCCTACCTATTTATGAACACATTTCCCACAAGATAATGGGAAAACATAAAAACGTGTACACAAATCAAGCGGCCATCAAGCTCAGAAGCAACAAAACCCACATGGAAGAAGCACACCAGCCTATGCAATCACGAGGTGTCAAAGGGATCAAGTATAAGGCATCATCAGAACAAAAAATCTTACCATAGTGAATGATGTGGGGAGTGTGGAGTGGAGACCCAAAGCCCATGAGTAGGCCACTGGAGATCCCCTTGCAGAGGGGTCTCGGGGAGGAGACGAGCCAGTCAGGGTGTGATGTAGTAACGATGAAAAATACAACTTTCCTCTAGTTCCTAAATGTTTCCTCCCCGCTCCCACTATCATGATACGAATTCTACCTTACAAATATGGCTAGACCAGAGGATGTACACTGGTACAGATAGGAACTGGAAATACAGGGAATCCAGGGCGGATGATCCCTACAGAACCAGTGGTGTGAGTGACGATACTGGAAGGGTAGAGCGAGCGTGGGTAGGAAAGAGGGAACCGATTACAGGGAACTATATGTGACCTCCTCCCTGGGGGACGGACAACAAAAAAGTGGGTGAAGGGAGACGTCGGACAGGGCAAGATATGACAAAATAACAATTTATAAATTATCAAGGGCTCATGGGGGAGGGGAGAGCGGGGAGGGAGGGGAAAAATGAGGGCCTAATGCCGGGGGCTTAAGTGGAGAGGAAATGTTTTGAGAATGATGAGGGCAATGAATGTACAAATGCGCTTTACACAATTGATGTATGTATGGATTGTGCTAAGAGTTGTATGAGCCCCTAATAAAATGATTAAAAAAACAAACAAACTTGTACACAAATGTCTGCAGCAGCATTTTGCATCAGAGTCCCCAAATGGAAAGTCTGAATCAACCAAATGCCCATTAACTGATGCCTTATGATGAAAATGTGGTCTAGCCAAACAAGGGAATTTGAACCAAAAACACACAAACTCATTGCCATTGAGGTATGCTGACTCATAGCGACCTTATAGGGCAAGGTAAAACTGCCCTTGTGAGTTTCTGTAACTGCGGGAGTGGAAAGGCCCGTCTTTCTATGGAGGAGCGGCTGGTGGCTTCGAACTGCTGAACATGTGAATCGCAGTCCCACGTGTCACCACTACACCACCAGAGACCATGATGCACCTATACAAGGGAGGGCCCAACTGATACAAGCTACTACGTGGATGAGCGCTGGGAACGCTATGCGACGCGGCAGGAGGCTGATAGCAGAGGCCATACCTTGCACCCTTCCCTTCGTAGAAATGTCCGCACTAGGCAGACTCAGGGACAGAGAGCAGAAGAGTGGTTGCCAGGCTGAGAGGAGATCGAGAAAGGGATGTGACTGGGACTGGGCTTTCTGTCGGGTGGGGGGTGGATTTTCTGGGACTAGACATTGGTGAGGGGTTCGCACCTTTGTGATTATACTAAAAACTACACTGGGTATGGTTTTTTTCATAGTGAATTTTATGGTGTGTGAATTACTTCTAAAAAATTCAACAAAACCCTGCACATTTAGGCTCTGGTATTGGTTTCATGACGGTGGGTTCATGCGTCCCTTTGTTGGGGCCTTGCCGAGGCTGCGGGCTGATTGTGGCAGAAAAGCCGCTCTTCCCTTCCACGAGCCCGGCCTTTTCCGGCAGCTCCTGGGCACCCCTCTGACACTCCTCTCCGTTCAAGGGGGAGGCCCCAGGATGTAGATGCCTGGGTGGCTTGCCTATGGGTGTGTGTGCCCGCCCCCAGACTTCACGTCTAGTGGGCTGCCATGGCTGTCTTTATTTGGTTAACCACCACCTTGATTTTCTCCCCCTCTTCCCCCTCCACCGTAGGTTTGGTTCCGTGGCTGCAGACGGGCAGTACCATTCGCCTATTAAGGACAAGAGTAAGAGATTCAATGTGATGCTGGCGGCGCTGACCCCTTCCAGACTAGCTGTGACATTCCAAGCCCTGGGCTCCATGAAGGTAGTGGACCTTGATTCTCATTGACCTTGTCGCCCGTCCCCGTGTGCTCCAGGGATGGGTGGCTATTTCAGGAGCTGGGGCTTCTTGAGCCGTGGCTGGTGTCATGAGGCTAGAGTACTGGCTGAGTAGAGAAAGCGAGCATCTCGGTACTAAAAGTGCGTGCAAGCAGTAGACCTGGTCCTTTCCAGCTACATCCCACATGAGTGTTGTTGAGTGTAGCAGGCACACGAGGTCTAGCAGAGATATATCCATGCTCCAAACTCACTGCTGTGGAATCCGTTCTAACGCCCAGCACCCCCTTGGAACAGGGTGGAACTGCCCCAGTGGGTTCCTGAGACGAACTCTCATTTAAAAATTTTTATTTTATTTTAATGGGGGCTCTTACAGCTCTTATCACAATCCATACATGTATCCATTTTGTCAGACACATCTGTACATATGTTTCATCATCTTTTTCAAAACATTTTCTTTCTACTTGAACCCCTGGCATCAGTTCCTCATTTCCCCCTCCCTCCCCCACCTTCCTTCCTTCCCTCCCCCATGCCCCCTTGATCATTTATAAGTTATTCCTTTTTGTTTTTCATGTCTTACACCAACTGCTATCTCATTTCACCCCCCGTTGTGCTGTCCATTCCCCTGGGATGGGGGTCATACATCGATCATTGTGATTGGTCCCTCTTACTCCACCCCTTACCCTCCTGGTATCGCTGCTCCCCTTATTGGTCCCGAGGGGTTTATCTGTCTGGATTCCCTGCATCGCGAGCTCTTATCTGTACCAGTGTACGTGTTCTGGTCTAGCCAGATTTGTAAGGTAGAATTGGGGTCATGATAGTGGAGGTGGGGGTGGGGAGGAAGTATTAAAGAACTAGAGGAAAGTTATGTTTCATCGGTGCTATACTGCACCCTGACTGGCTCTTCTCTTCCTTGTGGCCATTCTGACAGGGGGATGTCCGATTGACTACTGAGGGGCTTTGGGTGTCCACGCTGCCCTCCCTGAGACTAATTCTGTAGGGGAGTAGAAAGCTTCCTTTCTCCTGCGGAGCAGGCCTTGCCCAACCCATCCCCACTGCAGCCCCTGGGCTCCTTGCAGAGATGCATGGGCCCTTCATTCCCTGAGTCAGCACCTGCCCTGCCCATTCCCCACCTTTCCAGGAGGTAGGAATTCCTGGTGACCAGGGACCCCTGGGCGAACGAACGGGGACACCCTCGCAATGCCCGGTCTGATGGCTGTGCCTGCGGCTTCTGTGATCTCATCTCAAGCGTCCTGGTGAGATGAGATCACCGGCCCTCTTGGCTGCGTCCCGCTCGGTCCAGCGGTTCCTGCGCCTGACATGTGTTTTCCCAGCTGAAACCTAAGCTGTTCTTGCTAGCTCCGCTCACACCGAGCAGTGGAAAAACGGATCCCTGTCTCCTGAAGGCATTCCTGATGTATGAGAGAGCCGTCCCGCAGCTCCCCACGGTGACATTGGCTCAGGCTCAGCAGGCCCCTTCCTTTTAAACCTGGCTCAGGCGCCCCGGCTTTGCTCAGTACTGGAAGGCTTGCTCTTCAAGGCTTGCCAGTCACCTACCTCCCTGCTCTCCTTGGGGCCCAAACACCACATCAAATTAAGTGATTAGCGGGAACAAAAGGAGAAGGAAACTAAGATACTTGGCAGGGGTTTGAGAGAACTCCTCAGCCTAAGTGTTGGGGGTGGGGAGGAAATGGGAAGCCTGTCTTTTCAGAAGGAGGCAGGAGGCTGGGGAGAGTCACTGTGAGTTGGAGGGTGGGCATCGCAGGAGTGTAAAATGTCTCCACTGGTTAAGTACTGAATTCCTGACTGAAGGGTGGGCATTTGAAACCCCCCAGTGGTGCCCCAGAAGTAAGGCCTGGCGATTTGCTGCCGAAAGGTGGCGGCCTGAGTGCTATCTGGAACACAGCTCTACTCTGAACCGCTGTGACTTGGACCGCCCTTGACAGCAACTGGCCAGTCTTGTCAATTAGGGGCCACCCGGTGGCTGAGCCCCACACCTAGACTTGCTGATGTGGCAGGTCTGGAGTGAGGCCTGAGAACCTACGTTCCTAACACGTTCCCAGGTGATGTTGCTGCTGCTGGCCGGAGTCCGCTCTTTGAGAACCGCAGCACAGGGCAGATGGATCGAGGTGGACATTCTCAGCACTACCACAGTACTCTCTGTGACCTCCCACTGCCCCCAGGGTCAAGGGCCAAGTTCACATCTTATCCTCAAGACCTGTGGGACCTGGTCCTCAGCCTCCTCTCACTCCACCCCTTCTCGCTGAGGTCCTCCGCTCTGCAGGCCTCAGTTCAATGGAAGCTCTACTTTTCCTTACTTTGGGGACCCCACACTAACTGAACCGATAACATCTTCAGAGAATTTATTTCTGAACAGGGTCATGCACATCAGGACTCTGTATGTGTCTTTGGAGGACACAGTTCCATCCACAGCATGGCGTGACCCTGTTGTGCAGTGGATCCTGTCGTACCCGGGCCACATTGTAATCTTGCCGAGTAATCATTTTCTCATTGGTAAAAACGAGGCAAAAAACCCCACCATCCGATGGAAACGTCATGGAAACCCAGTGAGGCAATGCGTGGGAAGGCACAGCTGGTGGTCCCTTCCATCGCCACCATTGATACCACTATTACCCAAACCAAACTCATGGCCAGAGTCGGGGCTGACGCACAGAACACCTATCGGACAGGGTAGAGCTGCCCCATTGGGTTCTGAGGCTGCCAGTCTTCACAGAGCTCAGAGCCTCATCTTTCTTCCAGACTGGCCTGTTTTGAGCGAGCTGGCGCATAACTGACTGCCTCACCGGTGCTTTCATGACCGAACGAACACACAACCCTGGCCACCCTTGTCTCGGGCCTTCACATGTGCTCCGGGCTTCACAACAGCTCTACGCCGGTTCTGGCTGTATGGGGAACCAGAGCCGGTGAAGGTCAAGGAATTTGTAGAGGTGTGCACTGAATATCTATAGGGGCCCTGGTAGAACAGCAAATTAAATGTTGGACCACTCACCAAGAGGCCGGATGTTCAAACCCACCAGTGGCTTCACAGGGGGTGGAGGGTGCCGGTGGGGTGGGGTGGGGGTGGGGGTGGGGTAAGGTGAGGTCTGCCAATTCTGATATGGACTCCTAGTATCTGAAACCTGAGGGACCAATTCTGCTCTTTTGCTGTGAGACAGGGTCGACTTGGCAGCTTTGGGTTTGGATACTGAATACATGCTGACGAACCCTAATAGGACTGCTTAGGCGGGATAGATGGTCCCATGTTTGGATGGATGGTGAGAGCATGTTGTGTAGCTACAACGGACATATCAATGTTATGTAGACACTGCACAATTAAGTAGGGACAGAGGGAGCTAAAAGTATACAAGCACAGCGAGAAGCTAGAGGTGCCTGGCTTTGCGCAGAAGCTGCTGATTCACCACACTGCAGCTTGTGATTCTCGTGAGGCGCTGGCAAGTAGGTTCTGAGTCACAGCGGTGCGATGTACAGCAGAACCGAACACCGCCGCCCTGTGCCACCTTCACCAAGGCTCTGTGGTTGGAGTCCAACGTGGGAGCCACTGTGTCCATCCATCTTGTTAAGGACCTTCCTCTTTTTCACTGGCCCTCCGCTTTACAACGCCTGCTGTCCGTTTCCAGGGACTGATCTTTCCTGACAATGTGTCTAAGTATGAGAAGAAGTTCATTATCCTTGCCTCCAAGGAATATTCTGGTTGTACTTCTTCCAAGGTAGATTTGTTTGTTCTTTAGAAAATCCATGGTGCATTCAATGTCCGTCCCCAGCACCGTCATTCAAACGCATCGGTTCTCGTTCAGTCTTCTTTATTCCATGCTCTTCCTTAGCCAGCCGTCACACGCGTTGGAGGTGACTGCAACTACCGTGGCTTGGGCCAGGCACAGTTTAGTCTGCAAAGTACTTCTTGATTTTCAGCATTTTAAAGAGGTATTTACTCAGGACAATGCATTGTTCGATCCCTTGTTTACTGACCTTCTGTGCGCATTGAATGTGGATCCAAGCAGATGACGTCCTTGACAACTTCAGCCTTTTCTCGATTATCTAGCTGTTACCTATTGGGCTAGTTGTGAGGATTTGGGGTTTTTCTTTATGTTGAGTTGCAGTCCACACTGAAGGCTACAATCCCTGATCTTCATCAGCAAGTGCTTCAAGTTCTCCTCCCTTTCAACAGACAAGGTGTGTCATCTGCATACTACAGATAATAAGCCTTCCTCCAATCCTGATTCTATTTTCTTCTTCCTATAATCTAGTATGTTTCTCTGATTATTTGCTCAGCATACAGACTGAATAGGTATGGTGACAAGATGACCCCGATGCACACCTTTCGTGATTTAAAACTGTGTGTTATGCCTCGTGATCCATGCACAGGTTCTGCATGAGCTCAATGAAGTGTCCTGGAATTCTCATTCTTCTCGAGGTTATCCATAATTTGTTATGATCCACACCGTTGAATGCCTTTGTATAGTCAATAAACACAAGCAAACATCTTTCTTGTATTTTCTGATTTCAATCAAGATCCATCTAACATCACCGATGATATTCCTTGTTCCACATCCTCTTCTGAGTCCAGCCTGAACCTCTCTCTGGAAGCTCCCTGTCAATATACTGCTGCATCCATTGTTGGATGATTTTCAGCAAAAACTTTACTTGCATGCGACATTAATGATCTCACTGCCATGGAGTTGATACTGACTCATAGTGATCCTCTAGGACAGGGTAGAACTGTCCCTCTGAGTTTCTGAAACTGTAACTGTTTAGAAGAGTAGAAAGCTTTATCTTTCTCCCTCTGAATGGCTGTGGTTTTGAACTGAGACCCTTGTGGATCACAGCCTAATATGTAACCACTCCTCATCAGGGTTTCTGTGTTAGTCCAGGTAGAGTAGAGAGACAGATCCAGAGACACTCATATGTGTGTAAAACAGAACTTTATATCAAAGAGCAATTATACATTAAGAAAACATCCCAGCCCGGTTC